CCACCTTACTACCTAATACCTTTCATGCTATTTCCCCACATACTGCACTTTTGGAAGGGAAGATGAAATTAGTGTTTACAGAGCAATTGCTACCTCAATTAATTATTACCTCGGAGATGCGGTTTGAAGATAAAAAAAACTGAGGCCAAGATCAAGTGGTAGATTAAAATCCAAATTGGCCTGACCCCATAGCCTGTGCTGGGTGCATGGCACCAAAGGCTTCCCTAACTCATGAACCTTGTCATCTAAGAGCATCAAGCCTCAGAGAAGATGGATCTTCACATTCACATACATCCCAAGCAACTCCCAGGTTTCTACTCTTCAGATCCTTAACCAGAATGGTGTTCCAACCCACTGCCAGCCTGCCCCCCCGCAAACACCTCTGCCTTCAGCAAAATACTCTTTCTCTGACTGTGATGGTAGTTTTCCTTATTTCCTTTCCACCGGATGTTGAGCTCATAAGGGGGATTAATATCTTTCCTCTCTTGTACCCATAGCAAATAAGAGGCACTCAATGCATGTTTACTGACTGAATTAATTAAATGTTGGAGAATATATATAGCTGCAAAGTTGAGGGGGGTGGATTTTCATAACAATATTAACGTTTGGCATAGTTAGGAACAAACTTGACGTTAATGATGACAAAAAAGGAGTTTATCTTAACCACTTTACAGTTGATAATGATGTCTATATCCAGCACCAGAGATTCCATGTGATTTACAAACGTGTTTTATGGCTATAGGTAGATTTCACTCTATCTCTGGGGCCCTACATCACTACCAGTGTTCTGTTGTACCCCGTGGCTGCACATCAGCCATCCTTCATGATAGGACGCCCTTGACAAGTATCAGTCTCTCAATGGTTACCCTTGAATTGTTCATAAAAAGAAACAGAAAGAGCAAATGATAAAGTAAGTGGGAACAAACTGTTAATAACTGGCGACCTTGGGTAAAGAGAATACAGGAGTTCTTTGTACTATTCTTGTAACTTTTTTGTAATTATATTATATCAAAATAAAAAGGTTTAAAAAATTTTAAAACAATGATTATTAACTTTCCCAGGAGATTCCAACACACAAGGTCTAGTGTACTGGTCATGCTGGTACCACATTCTCTCATCAGCTATTCCAAAAACACACTCTAGGCTTCTGTTTCCTTGCCTATAAGTCAATATCAAGGGACAAGGAGCTCCTTGGGTAGTAGGGTTCAGACATGGCTTCTGGGTTGTGACAAGAGATTAAATTATATACTGCTTGAAGCATATTAATGAATGCACTGGTACCTCCTATTGGTCAAAGCCCCAGTACTATTTCTCCACACTAGCCCCTGTACTTTCTTCAGTCAAATGTCCTCTGAGTCCTTACTTTCCTTTTCCCAGACTTAGCTATGGGGTCAGGCATTCTGCCCAGGACCCTTCTTTCTCCCTGTTCCCTTGGAGAAGCACAGAGACAGTTCTGATGGTGAGAGCTTTGCTACTGTCTATGGAGAAACCTATAGAGAGGAGGCAAAAATAACCATGGGGGAGTCACAAATAATCCAGAAAACAGAGAACTCAAAGCAGTAGTTACTTGGTCTGTAATGATGACTTGCTAGCATTCTTTTATTCTTCACTTCTACCCACTCATCCTAGATCCTCCCCACCCCACAAACCAGAATGCTTCTTTCCCAGCCACTGTAACTGGAACAACAGGTAGAAACTTGTAAATCCTTCAAGTGTCCCCATATTAGCCATTTTAGGAGTGCCAGATGGGTGTCACCCAACACCTACCCCTCACCTATAAGGTGAGGTAAGAAAAGATCATATGTAAGCCAGTATATGATCTCTACCTTCCTCAGTTCCCGTTTTGTGTAAGCTCCATGAAGAGGGAGGTGCATTATGTCCTAGGATAACGTTCAACCTCTGTCCCTGATCAAGGCTTATAAGAGCCCTCTGTAATGCCATGTCTTCAGGAACACCCAATGACTCCTGCTTCCCCAACTTCCCCCCAAACAGTTGTCTACTTCTAGCCAGACGGTTAAGCAGTGGGGGAAAAAAGAAGGCTTTGTGCAGCTTAGGGGAGAAATGCGTTCTATGGTTGTTGGAATACAAGGGAGGGAAAAGATAAGCATTATCAAAGATGAGGTTTATACCCAACCTACATGTCTCAACTCTGATGAGCGCCCTGTACCATCACCTGTCCTGCTCCTGAGAGCCTCCTCTACAGGCCATATGGTGGGTCACAGGTGCCCCTAAGCTGCTTCTAAGTTACTCTTGGCTCCCAGTTGATCACAAATACTTCAGGAAGGAGTGGGAGGCCCTTATCCACTTTCCCTTACCTTTAACCAAGATTCACAGGCTCCCAAAGGTGAGAAGGCCACTGTGTACCAAGATGGCTCAGAAAAGAGGGAGACAGAAAGTGTGGGTTCTAGAACCAAACCTGTTTCACAGTATTCTAGAATTGTCTGAACAAAGAATATGAGGAATTTTAAAGCAACAGTACTGGGTTAAAAGCTTTTTCCTAGCAAACAAAACTGTAGAGAATAACACAGTTAAAGAAAAGGGGAAAATGATGGTAGGTCACACTAACTGAGCACTTCCCAAAGATCTCATGTAATCCCTTCACCCCTTTTACAGTTCAAGTATTTAAGCTCAGACCTCACTTTAAATGAGAAAAAAAATGTTATGAAGGTAAAATACTCCTAGGATAAACAAAAAAAGAATAAAACATTTATTTCTACTTATCTGGAGAGAAATTATACAACACGCTAAAAGTATGAGAACTACACTATTCAAAGGATACAGATCCACATTCTCATTGTTTATAGATGTTATGAAAGTATTAAATTAAATAAAAACACAATGATTTGTTCAGGCCTACTCCTTTCTCACCCCCCTCTACCCTCCAGGACAAAAAGAAGTGGCTGCAGGGAAGGTATTTAAGAGGAGAACTACTCCGGGAAAGTGGATTCTAGGTTGCTTAAAGTAAGCCAAGATGTTGTACAACCAATCTTTACCTAAATTATTTTAGAGTTTAGAGAGAAGCAGACAGTTATCTTTTTCAGGTTGAATACAGGCAATGAGGTCGTCTTACCCTCCAGGCCACTGCAATCACCATCAACACGGTTTTGATTTCTCATACAATCAGACGGCGGAAGGGGGGCGGAGGGCGCCGTGATCTCCTCCTCAGCTTTACAGTTAAATGGAACTCACATAAAAAAATCTAGCGCACATCTGAGGCCATGGGTTTCCTTGCAACTCGGAAAGACAGAGAAGTGGCCAAACAAGTTTCTTGCCAAATACCTAGAAGGTACATATGTCCCAGGGCTACACAATGATACCAACTTTTAAACATGCCTTCACATACCACCATTTCGGTCACTCACTTGAGATCCCGCCCCCCTTCCCTCCTCCCAAATAATAAACGCAGGTTGCCTTCTGCAATTTAAAGCCCGACTTCTTCGAAGTAGAGGCACTGAAAAGCGAGAGAAAAAGATTAAAAGCAGGCTATCTTTTTTTCTTTTCAATCGATTGCCCCACAGCGAGGGAATAAAACCAACTCGATTGCTGGAGAAAAGTTAACTTTGCTAAGCCCAGCGGTGGGAAATTTTCCCCAGAAGACTCGCAAAGCCCTCCCGCTTTTCCCACCCTCTG